TACTAACCAGGTGCTAGGTATTAGCTGGGAGCTGTTTATATATAACACATAATTTAATCCCACCATATCCTGAAATGCAGGGTCTGCTATGATCCCCATTTTACAGATGATGAAACTGAGGCGCAGAATGAGCAGTTGTGAAAGGCACTGTGACATTATGGGCTCCAAACCCCAGGGGGATTCCCTTATACTTGTCAACCTTGATTTCTCCCCATTATCACCCCAGCCCTTACTCTTCCAAGTCTTTCTGCCCCGGGACTGGTACCCAGGCAAGAGATACAACTCTGGCTATACAGACCCAACATGGGCAGGTCCCCGAGATCCTGGACTCAAGACCCCAACCCAAGACTTAGACCCAGGACCTCAGACTTAAAACTAGAGACCTGAAACATCAAAAAGCCGACCCTAATCTCAAAACCTCCAATGTCACGCTCAAGGTGGACCCCCAGACTAAGACCCGGACCTCAGATCCGGTGTAAAGACAGCTCGAGTCCAAAGCTACAAACCCAATCCTTATGCAGACCCAAGGTTCAAGACTTCAGACCCGAGGCCGCAGCCGCCGGCCCCAGACCCCGCTCTGCCCCTCCAAGGCACTCACCTCGCAAATCGAGGTGGCCTCACCCCGCAGTGGTCCCACATCCCAGGCCGGCAGGGTCTTCCCAGCCGCCGTCGCTCACCTTTCCTGGTCAGGGCGCCGGCAGATATAGCTGCCCAGCGCTCCCGGCCTACTGGGCATGCGCTCCCTTGCAGAGCCTGCTGGGAAATGTAGTTCTCCCATCCAACCTCGCCGCGCGGGGCGGGGCGGGGGGGGGGGCGCGCCAGGTATCAGAACTGCAAGTTCGAATCCCAAGCTTCCATTTACGTAGCGTGGGAGTCGGGGCTGGCCTCTGGGCCTGTTTCCTTAAGCTGCAAAATGGGGTTAATAATCGCTACCGGTTTTTTACGACTGTGGTCGTTATTCCAATGGGAAGATATGAGACTGGAAAATACTAATGGTGAATGATAGATTGTCTCTTTAGACTCTAGGACAATGTAAGTAGCGTGGGGACCCAATTGTATACAGATTTCCCTTTTGGCTTACAGTAGGGAGGTCGAATGACGCATCTTGGCTTAACGTTTCCTCCCTGAACCTTGGTTTTCCCAATTATATTTATCTTTTTTTATTTTCAGTTTCCTCAGTTATAACTTGGTAATTATAATAATAGGAGAGGTAATATCTCGTAATTGTGAGGATTAAACAAAATCAAGCCGGTTAAGGATTTAACAATTGGGCTGGAATATGAACCTGTTACTATCTAATGACTTTCAGGCTTTGAGTATTTGTGCGTTGAATAGAATCAGGAATGTATAAGGTGTGACCTTTTAAAGTAAATAAGTAACCGAAGAAGGGCAAGAAGTCCATGAAACATCCCTTTAAAATCGCCTCATACAGTAACTAATATAGATATAAAAAGTTTAAATAAGACACAAAAAATGTAGGCCTTAGGCCGAAATACTACATTTCCCAGGAACCTCTAGGAGCCTCTTTCTCTCAAGCACCCTTTGGCCGCTGACGTCTCAAAAAACGTGTACGTGCCGGCAGGCGGCGTGCGTCATGGCGGCCAGACGCTTACTCGGGGCTACCCGGACCTGGGCCGGCTGCCGGCCTCGGGAGCTCCCGGCCCCCGCCGCTCCTGGAAGACTCCTGGTGCGGGATTATGCCAAGAAACCAGGTGAGCTGCGTTAAGAGACCTTAATGGGAGCCGTGAGGACATGGGGTGATTTGTATTGCGCAGGCGCTGGTCGGGGAGGTGGTTCTTAGAATCCAGGCACCCACGTGCAGTGGCCTGCCGCTAGGTTACGCGCAGGCGCAGTTGGGGGGCGTAGGGCGCAGCTGGTCTCTGAGCTGGCACTGGCCTGAAGCTGAGCAGCCTGTGATGACGGTGTGAGTGACGTGGAGCAGTCGCGCTTCACTGCGCAGGCGTGGGTTTTCTGGGGTGGGGGTGGGAGAGAGGGGGTCGGGAACTTGCGTCCCAATGCAGTTTCTTTCCCTAGATCCGTGGTCGGCAAACTGCGGCTCGCGAGCCACATGCGGCTCTTTGGCCCCTTGAGTGTGGCTCTTCCACAAAATACCACGGCCTGGGCGAGTCTATTTTGAAGGAGTGGCGTTAGAAGAAGTTTAAGTTTAAAAAGTTCGGCTCTCAGAAGAAATTTCAATCGTCATACTGTTGATAGTTGGCTCTTGTTGACTGATGAGTTTGCCGACCCCTGCCCTAGATGACCGTGTAACCTTTTGCACGTCATCACCAGAAATTCGAGGGTGCAGTGGGGTCTAAGTATTAACCACTTAAGCAAAACCAATACAAAGTTATTTGAATTTTAGCTGGCTACTACCATGCCTGATCTTTGGTGAAAGAAGGAGTTGCCAAATATATGTTAGGTCTTAAAGAGACGTAGCAGCACTTTCTTTGTGAGATAAACAGAAAGAATCAAAATAGAATGGAAAAGGAGTGATTTGGTCACTCTGAGCATCAGTGTTATTTACTGCAGTGTCCATGTCCAACTTAAAATCATTTGAGTGCTGTAGACAGGGGCCAGCCAGGGCCTGGGCCCACCCTGAGAGACTGGGGGTGGGGAAGGAGGGCCGGCCGCCAGAGCGCGGAGCTGGACTGAGTGGGGCTGAACTCTTCTTTCCTCCCCACTCCAGCCGTTAAGGGGGGCAAAGGTGGCAAAGGCGGCGGAATGGTCAGTGAGGACCTGAAGGACCCAGAGGTGTGCACAGACCCTGTCCGGCTCACCACGCATGCCATGGGCGTTAACATCTACAAGGAGGGCCAGGACGTGGCCCTGAAGCCGGATGCCGAGTACCCCGAGTGGTGAGTGGGCCAGGCTGGAGAGTGGGGAGAACCGGTGACCAGATGCGGAGGAGCCTGGCTGATCACATCTAAGGTTTGGGGGAGGACTTCCCCCGGGAGGCAGTGCATGAGTGAAGACCTGAGTGGGTAGAAGGAGCTTTAACAGCAAGGGGACAGCCAGTGCAAAGGCCCTGGGGCAGTACTGTACTTAGCTTTTAGGGACAAGGAGGAGAGCAGGGGTGGATAAGGCAGGGAGGTCATGGAACCCAGCCTTGGCAGGTCCTGGGGGCTGCAGAGATTTCAGTTTTGCTCTTGGCCTTGAGATTATTAGCCCGACATGGAAACCATTGACAGTTGCTGATCCTTAAAGCTGGGGAAGGTGCAGAAAGGTTGAGCGGGAGGGGAGGCATTACAGGTGCACAGCATGGACAGTGGCCCGGGGGCAGGAGAAGGCTTGGCAGGTGCCCACCTCAGACATCAGCACTATTGGGATGGAGGTGCCTCCTTGTTCCACAGCCAGAAACCTGGCTCAGGGAAGGTGAGGGGCCGCCCTGAGATCACAGCCCCGGGACCCAGGCCTGCCCGGGCCTCGGCATTGCCTCTGCCCCAGGAACCTGGGGCCAGGAGTTGTGGATGGCTGTTGGGCGGCCCTGATTCCTGCCCATCCCCCGTCAGGCTGTTCCAGGTGAATGTGGGCCCCCCCAAGAAGCTGGAGGAGCTGGACCCTGAGACCTGGGAGCACTGGCGGCTGCTGCGGAAACACAACATGTGGCGCCACAACCGGCTGAGCAAGAACAAAAAGTTTTAGTGGAGGAGGGACCGAAGCACCCGACGCACAAGGACCCCTCAGGCCCCAGAGGAGGACCCCCGAGGAGGACCCCAGAGGGGCACAGCACCCCCCACCCTGCCCCATGAGAGACTCTTCCTGGAGAAAATGGACTTTTTCTTACCTGTGTTCTTTGTGGCCTCCACAGTGAAACTGGGTCACGGTTGTGGGGACCAATAAAGACCTCTTGGGGGGTTGTCATTGGCCGGTCCTGGATGCTACTCAGTGCGGTCTGATGTTGGGCCGTTGGGAAGAGGAGCCTGTGGCAGGGAGGTGGGCACCTAGTGGTTGGCTGGGCACTGTAGGTCCAGCTTCACCTCCAGGCTTCACTGGGCTGCTTCACCCGATTCCTGGGATTCTAGCACTGCCCAGGAGGCCTCAGCCCCTCAAGTGGGAGGTTTTTCTACCAAAACTTCTCTTGGTTGCAAGGGATTCAAACCTGACTCAAACCATGTGAAGCAGAACTGAATTTTCAAGCTTCAGGAACTGAATTGTGCAGGGATAGAGCTGGCTTCAGGCACGGTTGGATCCAGATGCTTCGGAATTCAGCTGTGTGGCTGTCTTCTCTGTCTCTGTGTCCATTTGGCCCCCAGGAGGAAGTTCTCTAGGCAGGGGTGGCTCCAGGGTTCCTGACTGACACCTTCCTACCCAGTGCAGCCAGCCTAGCCAGGTGGAAGGACTTCCCTCTCCTTCCTGCCAAGGTCACGGGGGTTCTCTTCATTGGCCACTCACTTGAGCCCAGGGACATGGGCCTACCAACCATCCCGTCCATCTCCACTGCTGCCCAGGTCTCACCAGAAAATGGGGTTCCGTGAACATTACCCACAGCCCCAGTGAGAACCTCAGCTCTGGGTGTCCCAGCTCCTGCCCGCCTGGCTGTGAGGGATGGGTCTCAAAGACAGGCTCCCAGGGATAAGGCCCTGGGGGAAACGCACTAGCAGTGCCTGTGAGGTCCCACCTCCCTGCTGGGCCTCAACCTCTCCTTCAAGGATGGGTTGAGGGTTGGCACCACCCTCAGCCTCTGGGCCCACATGCTGGCTGGGCAGGGTGGGGACCCACAGCTAATTCTGCCTGGTCCCAGGAAAATGACCTCTATCGGCTCAGGAGGACTTTGCCAAGGGGATTATTGAAAGCTATCCTCCCAGGTGTCCGCCCTGGGCATGCGGCCCATCCCAGCCCTCCCATGACTCACTCTTAGTGTAAAAATCAAAGCTGTAACTACCACAGCCCGCCTGCCCTGCCCCCATCCCTCCCTGCCCTCACCTCCCTCTCCTCACTCTGCTCCATGTGGCCCAGGGCTCCTCATGCCCTTCTAATGCCCCCTGGTCCTGCCCGGTGCCTCTGCACTTGCTGTGCCTGTTGCCTGGGTTGCTCTCCCCCATGGCTCCCTCCGCCTCCTCCTGCTCTGTGCTCTGAGGCCCCTCCGTGCGGCCTCCCACCGTGTTAAACCCCCACCTGCACTCCCGTTCGCCCTCCCAGTGGTGTTCTCCCTAGCATTTACCACCAGCTGGCGTTTCACATTTTATTTATTTTTTAATTATGCATCTGGTCTCTCCCACTGGAGTGGCAGGTCCATTAGGACAGGGTATTTATCTGTTTGTTTAGTGTGTGTCCCTATCGCTTACTGGATTTTTTTGTTGCTGTCATTAATCCTCACCCGGGGATGTTTTTGAAGATATTTTTAGAGAGAGTGGAAGGATAGAAAGATAGAAACATCAATGTGAGAGAGACACATCACAACCAAGCCTCCAAACGGCCCTCACTGGGGCCAGGGATTAAGCCTGCAACAAGGCACATGCCCAGGACCCTTCAGTCCGCGGGCCAACGCTCAACCCACTGAGCCAAACCTAGGCCCTATTGCTTCCTGGATGAATGGATGGATGAATTAGTGAAGTGAGTTGGACAGAACAAATGCTAGTCCTCCCACCCGTGGGTGCCCCAGCCCACCCTCGCTGGGCTGGGAGATGTAACGGGGTCTCTGGCCGATGGGGGCGTGAGCCACACTTTGAGTCATGGAGGGAACAAGGACAGGGATGGGCAGTACTTGCCAGCCTCAGCCTGGTCCCCCTTCGCCCCGGCCTGGGTCCAGTTGCTTCCAGAGCGAGCAGGGACCCAGTGATGCCTGGGGCCACGGAGTCAGGCAGGGAGAGTCCCTGTTGGCTGTGGCCTCCGGAAACTGGCTTCCCATCTCGGTTGCCTCCCTGTAAAATGGGCGGGTCCTCACCTGGTGGGCTCCGGCCAGGAGCACACCCCAGGAGCACACCGGGAGGAAGCAGCTGGGCCTGAGCTGCTCTGTGTTAGATATGTCTCGGAGAGGGAGGCCCTGAGAGCTGGGTGGCTGTGCTGGTGAAGGATTAGCAGGGATTTAGACTCGTGGACTCGAAGAATTAAGGTATTGGTGGCTCCCGATTACAGCCTTAGCGTCCCAGAGCCTCTGAACCCACCCACCCACACACTTCCCTGAGACAGACGGCACCGAGGCCCGAGGAGGGGCAGAGACTCGCTGAGGCCACCCAGAACCCGCCTCCCTGGCCTGGAAGTCCTATGGCCGCCGCCTGTCCAGTCTCCCTGAAAGGCAGGGTGGGGTGGCGTGGGGACCTGGCCTGGGCGGCCACAGACATGGAGGGTGGGGATGGGCAGTCTCTCCTCATCGATAGGCTGGCCTGCTGGTGGACTGCTCCGTGACCTTGGCCTGGATCTGGCATCCCAGGCCCTCGGGACTGGCCGGAGAGGGAGACGGGTAGGCACCAGGCTCACACCGATGGCCAGGCCCCGTCCAGAGCCTGTGCGTGCTCCTTGGCCAGGAGCCGAATGGACGCCTCCTCCAGAGTGAAGCCTTCCATGAAGGCGGAACCGAAGGCGTGAGGCCCAGATGCCGGCAGCCTCGGGGCTGGGCCCAGCAGGTGCGTGAGGCCTGGCCTGGCCGGTGGCCCGGGGCTCAGCCAGGGCTCCAGGGGCAGTGGGATGGCTGGAGGGTGGGCAAAGGGCAGTGCTGGGGCCTCCGGGAGCCTCGAGGCTGCCACAGCCCCGGAGCCGGACTCCAGACGCTCCTGGCGCCGCCACTTGGCCCGACGGTTCTGGAACCACACCTGGAAGCAGCAAGAGGGTGCCTGCAGCCCAGAGCAGTGGGGAGGGGTCCCGCCCTGGGCCTCCGAGCCCCGAAGGTTCTGCCTGCTGTCTGACCTGGCTGCCTCCCTGCTGCAGTGCCGTGTTCCTTATGGTGCTTCAGGCTGTCCTGAGAGAAGAGGCCCTGCCTCACGCCCATCACCTCACCTAAGACTTTCCGGACTCTCGTTCTCCTCACCGTTCTCTAACCAGGCCCCTCCGGTCTTCCCGCCTTTGATCAGGGAGTGCAAACTTCACAAGCTCTTCCTCAGCTTCATCTTCTGGGTTCGCCTTCCACCCAGCTCACCCAGCTCGATGGGCAAACTTCTAACCTAACCGCTGCACATCCTGGCGCATGCTGTTTGGGTGCCTAGAAGAATGCCCTTTCTCCTTTCTAGCTGGCAAACTCCCACTCGGATGTCATAGCCCCAGCCCCCAATCCCCTCCGGGCACCTTCCGTTCCTCTTCCACCCATGCCCCGGGAGGGTCCCTCTCTGGCTCCGCTCCCTCCCGGCACTGGGGGCCTCACCTGCACCCGCACCTCCGGGAGGTGCACCTTGGCCGCCAGCTCCTCGCGGCTGTACACGTCGGGGTAGTGGGAGGCCTCGAAGGCCCGCTCCAGCTGGTGCAGCTGGAACGTGGTGAAGGTGGTGCGGCTCCTCCGGTGCTTCCTCCTCGGGGCCTCCTCGCAGGGGGCCGGCCCCCCGCCCTCAGCCTCGGGCCCCTCGCCGGGACCCACGAACATGGCTCCTCCTCGCCACCTCCTGGTGGGACAGCGGGAGGGACTGCCAGCTGGGGCGGGCGGGGGAGCCCCCGTACCTCTGGGTCTGGAGTGTGATGTGCAGGGCTCTCCTCTCACAATGTCCTACGTCCATCCTGCCTCCCGCAGTCCTGTCTGTTGATTTCAAATTGTCTCATTCTGTCTCTGTCTCCACTCCCTTCTAACTTTCCTCTCTGTCCCCCACCTCTGTTCCTCTTTCCTTCTGGAACTCTCCCTGACTTCCCCTCTCTCCCCACGTCTTCATCTTTCTGTTTGCCTCCCCTGGTGTCTGGGATCCCAGGAAAGCAGGCGGGGACTCTGCTCCCGTGCAGTGCTCCTCACCCCAGTCCTCTGCCCTCGGGGGCTTCCTGCACCCCCAGCTGCCCCCGTGCCTGCCTGGCGCACCTGCCCAGCCCGCACCACCCTGGCAGCGCCTCTTCAGCCCAGGTGCCCACAGGCCCAGTGGCCTGTCCCAGCCAGCCGGTGGGGGGGGATTAGTATTAATACAAGGTGATTAATTGAGGTGGCCCCTTCCATCTGGCTGCCCTGAGCCGCCGAGGGAGGAGGGCCAGGCAGGCGGAGGACTGGGGAGGGGCTGGGGTTGAGGGGACGCTGTGGACCTGGGTCCTCTGCCCCTTGCAGTAGGACAGCAATAAGGGCCTCCCAGGCTCTGGGGCTGTTTTCCTGGCTGTAAGACACGGACACCGGGCCCTGCCCACCCCCTGGGGCTCTTAGTGGGACTCGGTGAGGTGTTAAAGGAAAGGGCACATTGTGGTCAGCGCATAGTCAGTGCTCAGTGTCTGCCCGCCCTTCCTGGTTTTATCCGCGGGGGCAGAAAAAGGCCCTCAGACTCACGTCAGCGGAGCTGGGGAAGCAGAGCCCCAAAAGCTGAAGGCATCTTTAGGTGGCTGCTTGGCCCCTGAACAGGGCATGGCTTAGGGGCATTTAGCTAGGCTTTGAGATGTGAACAAACATGTATTGAGCACTTAATTGTATACCAGTGAACAAAACAGACCCAAATCTTGGAGTGACATCTGAGTTGGGAGATGACCAGCAGCTATATAAGTAAAATATAGTGTCAAGTGGTGAGGGGTAAAGAGAGGAAGCTCAAGCAGGAGAGGGAAGGGGGCTGTGTGTGTGTGTGGGGGGTGTTCTTTTAAGGAAAGTGATCAGAATGGGGGATGAGGGCAAGGCTGCAGATTCTGGACAAGACGGGGCGTGAATGGGGGGGGGGGTGTGTGCTAGGGAGCCATGGGAGGTTGTAGAGCAGGGGAGGGACACAGACCATATTATGGATGAGTCCCTGCTTTGGAGATAGGAGGGGGGTGGGATTGTCACAGAACTAGTGGCCGGAGAGCTGGAGCAGGACCCAGGGGACGACCCTGAGACTGGCTGGCCAGCCCTCCAAATCCAAGAAGCCTGGGGGCTCAGGCAAGGGGGCCCCGAAAACCCAGAGGAGGAGGGGCCGGGGGAGCCCTGAAAATCGGTTGCTGGATTTAGTGGAGGCCAGGCCCTCAGATGGCCTGGGGAGCGATTACAAGAGAAAGCAGAGATCTTTCTGGAACGTTGGGAGAGACACACAGACAGTGTCAGGCACCTCCCTGCCCCCAGAAAAGGGGTGATGGCCCTGGAGGAATCGGGTCCAACTGCAGGGACCGGCGGCCGTGGAGGAGGAGCCGGCCAGGGCTCCCGTGTGCCATGTGGAGGGCTGAGGTCGGGAGGCCGGGCCGGGCTCCGTGTGCCATGCGGAGGGATGGGTCGGGAGACCCGGCCGGGCTCCGTGTGCCACGCGGAGGGCTGGGCCAGGAGGCCGGGCCGGGCTCCGTGTGCCATGCGGAGGGCTGGGCCAGGAGGCCGGGCCGGGGTCCGTGTGCCATGTGAGGGCTGAGGTGGGGAGGCCGGGCCGGGGTCCGTGTGCCATGCGAGGGCTGAGGTCGGGAGGCCGGGCCGGGCTCCGTGTGCCATGCGAGGGCTGAGGTCGGGAGGCCGGGCCGGGGTCCGTGTGCCATGCGGAGGGCTGGGCCAGGAGGCCGGGCGGGCTCCGTGTGCCATGTGGAGGGCTGGGCCAGGAGGCCGGGCCGGGGTCCGTGTGCCATGTGGAGGGCTGAGGTGGGGAGGCCGGGCCGGGCTCCGTGTGCCATGCGAGGGCTGAGGTCGGGAGGCCGGGCCGGGGTCCGTGTGCCATGTGAGGGCTGAGGTCGGGAGGCCGGGCCGGGCTCCGTGTGCCATGTGAGGGCTGAGGTGGGGAGGCCGGGCCGGGCTCCGTGTGCCATGTGGAGGGCTGGGCCAGGAGGCCAGGCCGGGGTCCGTGTGCCATGCGGAGGGCTGAGGTGGGGAGGCCGGGCCGGGCTCCGTGTGCCATGCGGAGGGCTGAGGTGGGGAGGCCGGGCCGGGCTCCGTGTGCCATGCGAGGGCTGAGGTCGGGAGGCCGGGCCGGGGTCCGTGTGCCATGTGAGGGCTGAGGTGGGGGGGCCGGGCCGGGCTCCGTGTGCCATGTGAGGGCTGAGGTCAGGAGGCCCGGCCGGGGTCCGTGTGCCATGCGGAGGGCTGGGGTCCGTGTGCCATGCGGAGGGCCGGGGTCCGTGTGCCATGCGGAGGGCTGGGCCGGGAGGCCGGGCCGGGCTCCGTGTGCCATGTGAGGGCTGAGGTCGGGAGGCGCGCAGGCCGCAGAGAAGAGGTTCTGAGCCCAGGCGCTGGGCGGCTCCTGGTTCCCAGGCCCTCCCAGGACTCAGCAGGCCGACTGACGGGCTCTGCGCTCCACAGCCCCAGAGTATCCTATGGGGCCGGCAGGTAATCCCCTAATTGCTTCATCAGGTAAAACGTTAACAAGCTGCTCAGTTCTCTCAGGCCCCAATTAGCTAATTGGCCTCCCTGGTTAAGAGGCTGCAGACGGGATCCCGGTCAGGTGCAGGGAGCTTTCTTGATTAGCAGGATGTGGCTGACGGTGCAGATGCTGATGCTGTGTCAGCTTAGAGGGCCGATTGGGGGCGGGGCGGGCAGGACCCAGGGACTAGCAGTCCCTCAAACCGGATTAGGCAGAGAGGGTGTGTGTGTGTGGAGGGAGGGGTGAGTGTGTGTGTGTGTGTGTGTGTGTGTGTGTGGAGGGAGGGGTGAGTGTGTGTGTGTGTGTGTGGAGGGAGGGGTGTGTGTGTGGAGGGAGGGTGTGTGTGTGTGTGTGTGTGTGTGGAGGGAGGGGTGTGTGTGTGGAGGGAGGGTGTGTGTGTGTGTGTGTGTGTGTGGAGGGAGGGTGTGTGTGTGTGTGTGGAGGGAGGGGTGTGTGTGTGTGTGTGTGTGTGGAGGGAGGGTGTGTGTGTGTGTGTGTGGAGGGAGGGTGTGTGTGTGTGTGTGTGGAGGGAGGGTGTGTGTGTGTGTGTGTGTGTGTGGAGGGAGGGGTGTGTGTGTGTGTATGTGGAGGGAGGGGTGTGTGTGTGTGTGTGTGTGTGTGTGGAGGGAGGGTGTGTGTGTGTGTGTGTGTGGAGGGAGGGGTGTGTGTGTGTGTGTGTGGAGGGAGAGATGTGTGTGTGGAGGGAGGGGTGTGTGTGTGGAGGGAGGGTGTGTGTGTGTGTGTGTGTGTGTGTGGAGGGAGGGTGTGTGTGTGTGGAGGGAGGGGGTGTGTGTGTGTGTGTGTGTGTGTGGAGGGAGGGGTGTGTGTGTGTGTGTGTGTGTGTGGAGGGAGGGTGTGTGTGTGTGTGTGGAGGGAGGGGTGTGTGTGTGTGTGTGTGTGTGGAGGGAGGGGTGAGTGTGTGTGTGTGTGTGTGTGGAGGGAGGGGTGTGTGTGTGGAGGGAGGGGTGAGTGTGTGTGTGTGTGTGTGTGTGGAGGGAGGGGTGTGTGTGTGGAGGGAGGGTGTGGGTGTGTGTGTGTGTGTGTGGAGGGAGGGTGTGTGTGTGTGGAGGGAGGGTGTGTGTGTGTGTGTGTGTGTGGAGGGTGTGTGTGTGTGTGTGGAGGGAGGGTGTGTGTGTGTGTGTGGAGGGAGGGGTGTGTGTGTGTGTGTGTGTGGAGGGAGGGGTGTGTGTGTGTGTGTGTGTGTGTGGGGGGGGGGTGTGTGTGTGTGTGTGTGTGTGGAGGGAGGGGTGTGTGTGTCTGTGTGGAGGGAGGGGTGTGTGTGTGGAGGGAGGGAGGGGTGTGTGTGTGTGGAGGGAGGGTGTGTGTGTGTGTGTGGAGGGAGGGGTGTGTGTGTGTGTGTGTGTGTGTGGAGGGAGGGAGGGGTGTGTGTGTGGAGGGAGGGGTGTGTGTGTGGAGGGAGGGGTGTGTGTGTGGAGGGAGGGGTGTGTGTGTGCAGGGAGGGTGTGTGTGTGTGTGTGTGTGTGTGTGTGTGTGGGAGGGGTGTGTGTGTGGAGGGAGGGGTGTGTGTGTGCGCATGCGAGCGCTCTCTCTCTGCCTCTCTAGCCTCCCACCCTTTATTCCTCCCTTAGGAAGAATCACTGAACCCTGTCAGGTGCTGGTGGGGAAATTGAGTCAGAAGGACTAGCGGCCCCTGCAGCTAGTGGGAGAGCAGTGTAACTTCCGGGCACGTTTCTAGCTAAGGTGGGGTGGGCCAGCATAGGTGAGAGGGCATACTGGGGCCTGGTGTTTCCTCTCCATCTTGAGGGGTCCTGGGTGGGACAGCATCCAGCCTGTCCCAAGAGCCCCGCCAGGCATCCTAGAGGCTGTCTGGATGCGAATGTCCACCAAGATGGTGACAGTCACAGCAATAACTGTGTGCACTCAGCCCTCACCTTCTCCCCACTCTGGGTCCTTACAACACCTCCCCCCAAGATTCCTGATCATAGGTGGGCCCAGGTAGGGGACCAAGCCCCCCACACAGCTAAGGGGTAAGTCAAGATCGAACCTGGGGCGCCAGCCCAGAGCCCAGACCCTCACCAGAGAGGACAAGGAGGCAGGGCTCCGGCAGGCGCTCCGCTGGGTTTTCCTGGGGCTCCAGGTGGCAGGGTTAGACGGTTGGGCTATGACAGCTGGAGGATGTTGGGGGGCGGGGGCCTGTGGGTAATGGCAAGGGGTCCACGGGGAGGCTGTCATCTCTGGCCTGGAGTCTCCCGGTCCATCCCAGGGGTTTGTGTCCCCAGCGGCTGCCAGTGGGCCATGGCTGGGCAGACCCCTCAGTGGGCAGACGACTGGCAGGCTGATTGTCCCGAGCTGAATGATGGGGGCAGTGTGGATGCCCCGGGCCAAGAAGATGTTGGGGGTCGCAGAGAGAGACTCAGAGGCCCCCAGTTCTTGGAACCAGTCTTTATCGAGGCACCAATCCTCCTCCGTGGGCCTGTGGTAGCCAGGGGCTGCCCAAGCCCCCACAAGGGCCTGCTTCTGTGCTGTGAGCCTGGCGGGCAGCTGTGGGCCCAAGCCTCCTTAGGCCCGGCTGTGTCCCCACCCTGAGCCCCCCACTGTCTGTCCTCTGGGCCACGGCCCCACCAGGCAGGGTCAAGGCTCCTGGCTGCGGGGCAGGGCGGAGCCATCAGCGTCCTGTCCTTCGCCGTGGCCGGTGGCACCCGCGCTGCGCAGCTCCCGGGCCAGCTTCTCGGCCAGTTTTCGGAAGGTTGGCCGGCGGGCAGGCTCCGCCTCCCAGCAGCTGCTCATGAGGGTGTGGACAGGGCCTGGGCAGCCCTCAGGGGGCTCCATGCGGTA